CTTATCATCCCAAACAGCCATGGTTTTGTGGAGAGCAAAGGCTATGGAGTTGTGTTCTTGAGCTCTCTTGAAGAATCACACTTGCTTGCTTGTTTCCTTTGATTTTTGGGTAAGTGTTCTTAAATTTTTTTCATGAAAAATATCATCTTTTCTTCTTATGTTCTTGAGCCTAACTCATGAGCATGTTCATGAAGGTGTGTGCTTGCCTAAAGGTGTGTTCTTGGTGGAAAAATGTGGAGACTTGAGCTAAAGGAGAAACCTTGAAGATGTAAGCTCCCACTTGGGAAATATGAACCAAAAAGCCTCCCTTTTTCTTGTTGAGTGCCTTGGTTTTGATATGTTCATGAGGAGAATGTTGTTTAAAATTTCGTAATGTCATGGTTTGATGATGATTCTTAAGTGTGTGTGTGTTTGGAACCATGGAATGATGGATTGGATGACTAAAGGTGCCACCTTTGGACCTTTGAGCGATGTTCATGTAAAAAGATGACTATGAACTCAAAAATGGACCATGAACATTTCAGCCATATCAAGTAAGGATAGGGTTTGATGACAAAAAAATGTGATTAAGTTGTTAAGTGTGGAAAAATGATTAGAAAGATTAACTAGGTGGGTTAACTCTAAGTAAAACTCACTAATCATGATTAATAATGGCTAAAAATCCTAATTAATATAGCTAATCAAATCTGCCCCATAAAGTACATAAGGGTTTAGTTGTGTTAAAATTAAGGAGATGACGAATTAGGTGATTAATTAAGGGTAGAGATTAATTAACAAAAGTAATCAAGGATTTAACTCTAAAATTGGACTAAAGTAAGGTTTAGGTACACTAATTAAATAATTAGTAAAATTTAAGTATCATGACATAATGGGACTAAGGATATTTCATAATGTGACTTAATAATAGAAAAATCCAAGAATTAATGTGAATTAGGTTTTATAATCAAAAGTAATTAAGGTTTGTTAAGTAAACACATTTAAGGCTAAGTAACCAGTTTTTAGGAAAAATTGGGGAGAGCATATCTTCCTCCACAGAGGTCATATAGGGATGTGCCTTATATCAAATTGAATATTGAGATGTTATCTACGTGGTGTCAAAATTTGGTATCAATTGAAGATATATTCCATTCTGTATGTTCGTTTGAGTGAGGACTGCACAGGGAGGCATGTGCAGGGGCGCTGTACATGGCTGACACTTCCATGAATTTTTTCTCCCTCAATTATTACTCAAATTAGGCTCATAATATGTCTAATTAAAGATAAAGGTGTCTAGTTGTGTACATAAAAATTTTAGAGTAATTGATTTATTATAATTTCCATAATCGCAGAAATGGTAAAGAATGTTTAGGGCCCTGTTCGGAGTTGGCAAACAACTTTGTTTGTCCAACTTCAAATGGTGATAACCGGAGCTAGGAAACTTCAAATGAGGCATATGATACCTTTTTGGAAAGGTAATTGAGTCTAGATTAACATACTAAAAGATGAAAATTTTATAACAAGTGAGTCACGCCCAGTAACAAGAAAACAGAAGCATGTACAGTTATGGAAAAACCATAAAAGTGATATTTAAGCTAAGTGGGCTTAGGGGAACCCTTAGTAACTTATAATAATCATAAATATGACTTGGATGAGTTGAAAATAATCTAAGTGAGCCTTGCATGTGATTCTAAGCTATGTAAGTAATTGAAGATTAAAGTGGCTTGTAATAATGCACTAAAATATGTAATAAGTAATAATTGGTCTAGGCTTGTAATGGGCATATTATTGGCATATGCGTATGAAAAGTGGAATCATTAAATGATTAAGTCGTGGATATGACTTGATTAATTAATATGTAATTAATGATGTGAATGGTTCCTACTCTAGGTGTGCCTAGAGAACCATGCACTTGAGGATTTTGTTGGAGCATACGTATTATATTGGAGTGTGGGCTTGTGCTAAGCTCCCTAAGGTAAGCTCCTAGTTCTAGTTGACTCCTCTCTCTTGTGGCCCCACCATGATGGTGGGCATTATGGTTATATTGTATGAAAGTATATGGTATGATGTATATGTGCATTCATTCACATTCATATAGATGTTATATGATCTTGATGTTATGATGATGCACTGATGATATATGTTATGAGGATCCTGGCCAGTGATCATGGTATGTAGGTTGCCTATGACTTGACTCTAGGAGTTATTTCATACTGAGGTTGTGTTGACTGTCTATGGCTTGACCCTGGAAGTCACACATGTGTAACCGTCTATGGCTTTGACCCTGGGGTTACACAAGGATGATATGATGATGCTATGTTTATGTTGTATGTCTGTATTATATGCTTTATATCTGACTTGTTATGCAGGAAGTGGGCTCAGGGGTTAGAAGATCCTCTATGAACCTTGAGCTTACTGAGATGTTGTTATCTTACCCCGTTTGGGGACATCATTTCAGGTACCCAGAGTAGTGGTGATGCTTCTAGGGGCAAGGCCCCCGCATTGGAGTAGTTGATGATGCAGCTGATGATTTTATATTATGTTTAGATTTGATGTTGGCATGTAGACTTGTTAACATGCTTAATTATTTTATGGAGATTATTGTATGTATTTATTTAGGCTCATGATAGTATTCTTAGAGCCATGGATTATTTATTGATACTTTTATACTTCGAATTAATATAGACTTGATGCATGTATTCAGTTAATTTGGGTATGGAGCCTTATTAGATGTATTGACCCATTAAGGGGATTGCAGTCCGTGTGGGACTTGCAAGCTATCTGTTTAAATTGTTGTATTAATTAGGTTATCTGTATGTGTGGAATCATGTTTCTAGTTATCCGAAATACAGCCGTTATGCTGTCCGTGAGACTCCGTCAGGAATGACACTTGATGTCATATCTTGATGGTCAATGGCCACTAATACTGGCTCATGGGATTAATTAGTAGAAGTATATTCAGATTTACGCTTTCGCAGTATCTGACGTGAACGTTTTTAGAAATGTTTTTATGAAATGTTTTGGAAAAAGTTTACTCGTATTTTTATAAGATGCTTTATTCCTTTTCAAATAAAGTCTTCCGCTGTGAATGTTAAATATCATGTATGTTAACAACCGGAGTACTACGGGGTGTTACAACACACAAAGCAGAAAAACAGCGGTATGGTGTAAAGTGCATGCTTATATCAACATCATCATAACATATACTTCATGTACTTTTGATGCCATACTGCCACGCCATCATTTCTTTTCATGACAGAGTTACCATCATAATATTTCCATAAGCAGAATACTTTCATCATAAATAGCAGGATAATCATTAGGCACATGTGAGCAACAATTCACAACTTCATACACTAGTTAATAGTCACTTTAGGTAATACCACCAAACACTTACCTGTGTGTCCAAGTGACAATAAATCAGCACCAAGATTCAGCCCACACAATAGGGTTATGTGCACCTAAGCAAGCAAAGCCAAAAACAGAATTTCAAATTCTGATTCCTATAACTTACAATTAATATCAATGCTCCTTAACTCTTGTATTTTCCCACATTTCCAAATACAAATGCTATATAATTTTTTGATTTTACATCACCTTCTAACTTGCTACATTAATGAAATTCCAAGGTTCTTCCATGTATCCCATTCGGTTTTAACCCCCAAAATAACCCCATAATTTCTATTTGCAACTCTCCACATAACTCTCTAAGGTGCGTACATTAGGAGCCTAAAGCATAAGGTTAATTTAATTTACTTTATATAAAGTTGGGTGCAACAATACACTCCCACACTAGGTGACTTATTCTCACTTAACAAGGCAACACTCAACAATGGGGACTTTACTCCAAGCTCCCACAAACACTCTTTGTGTTCGCAGCACAAGGCTCCCAAATCGGTTTAGACACGGTAGAATTAATACAATGAAATTGACACAAGCTATTCCTTATAATGCACTTGCAAGCATAATTCGGCTAAGGCTAAGGGCACACCTTTTAGCTATTTACAACAATTTCCTACAAAGCTCAAGTGATATTTTAACAAGGTCAATAGCGGCTGACTATGCATATTTAATGCATGCTAAGTTTAACCAATCACTCCAATCCAGGGGCTGGTCTAATAAATTAGGGGCTTTTATTCAAATATACAAAATTCATATTAAGCTTGCACAAATCCAGTTCTAGGGTCGTTCGATGGGGGCAGAATTTAAAAAGAAGGAAATGGCCAAACAACCTATTCTCCCACATGCAGGTGAGGACTGAAGCATGAAAACAAAGAATAAAATGACAGCACCATATTTCTTCAAAGACACTAATGTAAACCGAACAGTGAGGGAAGGAGAGAATTTGGTTTTTTTTTTTAGATGTTACCTCTTGTCAAGCTCACACATGGCCTATGCCCCCTAAAATATGAAGAAAAAAAAATTATTAGTGTTGTTAATATGTGATTGTACTTTAGCATGACCGAAAGAAAATAATTATTTCTTGGGACTTATGTCTAGTAACAAATAATTAAATAATTTACCATAAATATGAATTTGAATGATTCATGTTTTATCTTTCTAATTATATATAGTTTCGGAAACGAAAACATACCAACATGTAAATACACCTTTTTCGCAAACACCTTACTATGTTGGTAAGGAATGTTGAGAATTTTGTCACTCGCTATCATTTTGACTATAAATATTTCAGTAATTTTTTCATTATTATGATACGCTAGCTTTGCAAGTGTGTGGGCAAAACAAAGAACAATTACTTTCTTGGCCAAATACGTTATACCTTATATATAATTCTAGCTTACGAAGGGAAGGGAAAACCCAATCCAGTTACATTAACAAACCAATGTGTACAAAAAGGAATAGTTTCTTTGACAAGAAAAAATTTAACCTTAACAATATATATTCAGACCTTTATATAAATATAACGAAACAAATAACCCAACTAGTCCAATTCAAACCATTTAACCACGATTTGGTTAGGTGCAAAACTAATATATTAGCATATTAGCACATATTCTAAACCTATGGCTTATAGGCCAAGAACATCAGCTTTCCGGCCACAACTTTCAGTTCGTCGTGTGTATGAGACTTTGCAGCCTACGTCAGAGATGAAAGAAATCCCTGAAGCTTACCTTCTGAATATTTATCTTCCAGGTGAGCGCTATATAACACTTTCCTTCTTGCTTGCCGATTTATTGTTGTTTTTTCTTAATTATAAATAGATATGCGTCTCTTCTTCCCTTTTCAAAATGTGTTTCTCAGGTTTCTAAATTTAAATTCAACTTCTTCTTTTTTACTTTTTTTACTTATTCTTATTATCTTATATCTTTAAAAAAAAAAAAATGTAAAGTAATTAATCAGAAGGGATGTCACACAGTTCGTGAGCGGGTTGTGCCCAAGAAGTGGATGAATTGTTGTAGCTTGAACTATTTATTCTTATAAATAAAATTAGATATATTATTCTCCTAGTTTGAGAGAAGTGAAATCTCTTAGGTATTCTAGATCTCTTAAAAATAACAATATATGTTATTCTTTTTTTTTTTGTAAACCAATATATGTTATTCTTAACTTCTCATTTTTTTTAATTTCAAATTCAAATTATTTTGAATTTATTATGTATATTATTTATAATGTTAAATATGTATTATTATTATTACTATATATATATATGTGTGTGTTAAACATTTCTACAACCACTTTAGATAAAGTTGTCTACAGCTATCCCTCTTTAACTAATTCTGACTAGTAAAACATAAAAATTGCATTTTCTCTCTCCGCCAAGTCAACTGACAATGTCTGAAGAGAGAAAAAAAAAAAAGAACAGTTTTATTGTTGTAACTATGTCTTGCTGGTCAAACTTAGTTAAAAAAGATAGTTGTAGATTATATTATCTACAATGGCTGTAGAAATATTTTTTCATATATATATATATATATATATATATATATATATATCATTTATATTTTTTATTCATATTTATATATTTTTTTCTATATTTAAAAATATTGGAACAACACATAGCATACTTGCTGATATATATTACAAAACTAAATGAGATTGATGCAAGGAGATTCACAATTTTTCTGTTGTATATTCTCATAATTGCCTACTATTTTATATGCATTGATAACATAATAATTGGCTAATTGCTTTGTATATCATGTAGTTGTGCGTTTTTTAACACTTAAAAGATTTTGATATTGACTGATTCCGTGATTCGTATAAAAGAAGACTAAGTGCAATATAGAAAATTAGGTTAAATTAATAAAAAAAAAATAACTTAGCAGACAGCATTGATGCTAGAACAAATTGAAATTGTTAATAACTCTAAAACAGATGAATAATCTCTACCATTTTAATTTTTCCATTAATCATGCAAGAATCTTAAAAAAATTTGTCTGAAATAAGTCAAATTTTTATTTTTATTTCTTCTAACTGTCAAATTAATATTGTCTATCTGTTCTGCTTTTACAGGTTTCACAAAGGATGTTATAAAGATTACATATGAGCATTCTTCAGGAATGATAAGGATTACAGGAGAAAGACAGATTAGAGGTAATAGATGGAGCAGATTTGACCAAACATATCCTTTTCCTGAAAATAGTGAGGCAGAGAAAGTTGAAGCCAAGTTTGAACTTGGAACCCTCGTTCTCACAATGCCAAAGAAGTTCGTTTCACAAGTAGCTCCTAAACCAGAAGTGCAAACATCCCAAGATATAAGTCCAAGTCCTTCAGAGAAAGCTATAGCTGAAGGAAAGCCAGAGAAAACACAAGATACCATTCCACCCCAATCTCAAGAGACCCAAGAAGTTGAAGAAACAAGTGAAGACAAGAAAAGTGCTTCACTACCAAGCACTTTAAAAGGCCCTGATGAATTTAAGGCACAAAAGACTACTCAAGAAGACACATCATCTCAAAAACCTGTTGAAAGCCAAATGGTAGAAGATGAGAAGGCATTGAAAGCTTTTATCCCTCCAGAACCAATTAGGGATCATAGCCCTCAAAAGGGTAAAGAGGAAGTTGCTGAAAAACCTATAGTAACAAGTGAGCCTCAAACGGGTAAAGAGGAATTTGAGCCAAAACCAACACCAACAATAGCAACCAAAATCCAAACAGATGAAAATATTCCAAAGGGTGAAGAGGAAGCTGAGCCAAAACCAACATTAACAACAGTTACCAGAGACCCAAAAGAAGAAGATAAGCCTCAAGAGGAAGCCAGAATAGCAACAGTTGAAAAGCAATTAGAGGAAAAGACAGTGGGAAAAAGTGACGAAGATGCTCAGAAGGAAAGAATCTCAAAGAAAGGAGTTAAAGAGAAAGATAAGGAGAAGGGTGGTTTTAAAGAGAAAAAAACCAGGACAAGAAAATTGACACCTGAGGAAGCAGAACCTTCTGCTCCAAAAGTTCCAGAGAAGGAAAAAGAATCTAGCAACAGAACAGTTCTCAACCAGCAAGGGAAGAGAGAAGAGGATATAATTGACACTGTAAGGAATGGAATCACAGATTTGGCAGTTTGTGCTTCCCAGGTTGTCACAAGAATAGCAGAAGGGAAATGGAATCATGCAGAGAAACATTTAGCTGTGAATATAGGTGCTGCAGTTCTAGTGATTGCTGCTTTGGGAGCTTATGTATCCCATAGGTTTACCTCTTGAGGGAGAACATAAAATTATTAATATACATTTATAAACTATCATCTCTGACATGGGACTATTTTATTAATAGTTTTATATCTTATAATTTGATTCAAATCATGTAATCAATGTCAAGATATTTCAGAGATACATGATGATATGTGAGAGATTAATTTGTTTCAAATAGAAACTAAAAAAGTCATAAAAAGCAGTATGCAAGAGTGGTTGCTTATATCAAAACAAGTTATAGTGAAATATAAATACAAATATTTGGTTGAGAATGAGGAATTTGAGAGATGGTTTTGTGAGGAAGCATGAAGGCTAGACCTGTTTTGATAGTGGATTTAACTTTTCTTCATTCGTAGATGTAGGCATATTTGACTAAATCACATTTAATTTTATGACAAAAAACTTTAAAGAACATTGTTTTATTTGACAAAACATATAGTACCAATTTATTATTACTTTTATTTTGTTTGACATTCTATTTTACATAAACAGAGAAAATGAAAGATCGAATGTTATTTTACATAAATTCATCATTCGCAGACTGCAAAAGCACCTTCAAGAAATATGCTTATTATTATATTGTCTTTTCTTCATTTGTTTGCAACACACAATTAACATCAAAATGTGAAATTGTAACAGTAAGGGAAAGCCCCGTGACTCATCAGAATTTAGGTTTTAAAATAGATAACGCCCCACAACTTATATGTCAGCCTTTGTGTTTCTCCTGTGATTCTTACAAAATCTATTTCTTCTCATTTTTTTGAATAAACCACAAGTATCCTTTACGAAAGGCAATTCTGTTCGGAACGAGTTCAGGATTAAGGCTTTAAACTTCTCCCAAAGATGATGCTGAGGAGGACCGAACACATGTTCTCACCCCCAACTGCTCAGCTCTCATGTTACAAAATTTGTTTATGAAGTAGCCTATAGAGTGAAATTTGATGAGACTCAACTTTTCAGGACTACTCAATATCCATGGTTTAGTGTGGAAGAAAATCAAGCTGAAGGTTCAACTGAGATGGGTTTGACATAGGGGACCATGAGTTATTTCCTTTTGTAATTTTGGAGGATATTTATACAGTGGAAATTGGGTTCTATTTATTCCTGAAAGCAAATATATATGTATTGTATGTTTAGCTAGCAATGTATGAAATATGCTCAATGATTTGTGAGATTTATAATCCTTAAACATACAATACGAAGCTAATTGCAGTTTAGTCTCTCGTTTATTTTGATCCACCCTCCTCTTTCCCTCACACAAACTCAAAGAAAAGCATTATCTGGTGATATTACCCGTCAGCCGCCATACTCATACACAAGATGCCAGACCATTTATATAAACTTTTTAAGCAATTAAACTCTAAATACTATTCAATCAAAAAATAAGGCATAACAAATTAAAGAAATTTGGCAGTTCAGTTAAATTACCAAGATAAAAAAAAACATTTTAATTCATTATATTGCAAAAATAATAATAATAATAACAAAAACAATAATGAGAATAATTCATACAAAGTAAAGTTTGACAAGCACTGGCAAACGGCAACTACTTCCCTGATCTTGATCGCTCAAATATTCATCTATCAAAATAAATTTGAATAACGAATATTGCATATACATTTTACTCACATATGCCAGTGCAAAGCCACTACATAACACTTTCTATAACATTTCTTGAAAGGTCTAAATTCAGCACATACCTTACATAGTATATTTAGCCATCGTTTTTAAATAAATATGTTCTATATCTTCCCAAAAATTGTTGTACTTCCAATAATTTCACATGCTTTCTGCTCACACTCCAGTTTGCCCCACCTTGCATCAACTCGTTCACAGGGGAATACTGGTTTGCCAAGGCTGTCAAAAAGCATATCAAGTGACAAGTGTCATGCGAATCAGGAATTACAGCACATACAGTGGTTAGTTTTACTAAGCAAATTCTCCAAAAGCAAGTGGAGGCTCAAAATGGTTTTATATATCAAACACATTCCCTCCACAATCAAGAGTTCTCTAGCTTGACGCATGAACAATGCACAAGCCCATTTTACCTTGTGCTGAAACTCAACTTCATTTACATGAATAGTGCTGCACCTTTGTGGCTAAAAGGTTGCAGGTTTGATTCTGAGAAACATCTATGCGAATATGTAAAAAAGTAAGACTGTGTATAAAGATTTTCCTCACCCCTATCCTCACTAGTTGGGGTTTAATGGGGAGTGGATTTCTTTTTCTTTTTTTCTAAAATAGAGCAGCAAGGATCAAATTTGGTCAAATTCCTGACCACTTTGTAATAGAAACTCTAATACCATGTCATAAAAACCAACTCTATCAAAGGCATAAGTTGATAGGTGGAAGCTCTAAGATGCTTTTATATTTCTAATATAAAGTACAACAGAAAATGAAATCAAAAGTCTAACCAAGCATGTCAGGTTCTAAGATATACATTAAAAGGGACACCTTATTTTAAGGTATAAACATAGCAAGGACATCTTCACCACTAACAAACTATTGTACACCAGGCAGCTTTTAATGGAATAAAAAATTGGAAGATATGTAAACTCCAGAATTTTGCTTTTGGAGAAGAAATTTTTATACACCAGAAAATCAGACCGCAAGTTTCATCATTAACATATTAATAGTGGCTTTCACCAATAATGATACAGTTAAATGATACAAAAGATGGTTTGAGATATTTGTTAAATGATACGGTTATTATAGTCTACAACAACATCTTAGAAAGCACAACGGACAGAACATACCTTCTATTAACAACATTATGCACATGACATAACCACTGAGAAAAGTCATCATGTGACCCAGCCTGTACAGGATTTGCTCTGCCAAACATGTAAAGGAGTACTCTTGTAATAAAGGTCATGTAGGACATAAAATTTGGAAAACTAAAATAGTAGTTCAACATGTAAAACTGTAGCAGATCAAATTATTCATTGATCAGACATTTTTATTAGTTTTATATCATATTATATTAGCTTAAAAAAGGTGAGGCACAGACACGTAGTCTGAATTCACTGTTGACAGGCAAAAATGCTATCTATAAGAGAAAATACATACTTGAGCTAACACCAATGAATAACTGCCACTGGTAAAAAATCAGGGAGATTTATTAACATCCATCATGAATTTAAAATTTTGACCCAATTCTATATTTTGTCCATATTCATGCTTCGATGAAATTTATAAAACGTAATAATCTACAATCTGATCAGAAAATGAAAATTTAAATGAATAAAAGAGAAGGGGAGCAAAACCAAGACAAACAATCTTATTAACAGATGATCAACTGCTAGATAAAGAATGGGAAAATTAATATACCTAAGAACTTCTTTAAAGTGATCTGCGCATTCCTTGCAAGGATATAACCGAGATAAGATCTGTACCTGTGTTCTAAATACATCCAGTTACAAAAAGTTCTTTGTAGCCTACTAGGATAACACATTTCCCCTACTACTACCATATGGATGGGAATTTTGATGTATTATATGCTTTAAAGTCATCCATGGTTAGAATATGTGAGATCAGAAGTTTAGAATGTGACTCAATGTTATGTACATTTTGCACCAGCTATACTTAGAGCTCTCTTTGTATTTGACTAAATGAGCCAAAGTTTTACTTAAGGATAGGAAGGGGAAAAGAGTCATAAATGTTTCTCTCATACACTTATTGTCAGCATAATATAAGTCGTATTAACATCATAAATCAGGAATTATAGTACCATAACACAAGACCACAGCATTAATTTATGAGCAATGATTCCTCCTATCACTTACAATAAAGGCTCAAATTCCGTAGCACAAGGGATAAAGGAGGGAAATAAAATACCAGTTCTTTTACATCCTTCTTCTGTTGTCTTGTAGGATTATCTGGATACTGAAAAGAGAAACAGGTCATTAAGAACTCCATATATTTTAAAACATCAAAGCTTTTCATTTTGTTGGTTCAGTTTGTTGATAAGACATCAAAATCAAACTTGATTACATATGAATAAAAAAAAGATTAACCATCTTCTCCTTTCTGAACGTCCTCATGCCCGAAAATGTAAAACAATGAAAACTAACATTTTACAATGTGTAATTCAACTGGGGTATGACACCAGTAACAGAAAACAACAAATTTACTTTGTAGATGAAAGTAACAGCATGTGGAGTGGAGAAGTTGAAAGACAGCAACACAGAAGAACTAGCAATTCATTATCTTGGTCATGTTAATGCAGGAGAACAAAAAGTTCAAAGATAGCAATGTTGAAATTTCATTCTGGCAGGTAGAAGACCATAGTAACAAGAGAAATGGCTACAAAGGTACAGTTTTTTATGGTGAATGATATTCTATGATGGCTATACCACACCATGCTCTAGTTATTAACCATGTGAAAATTTTAACTATAAGTAAGAAGTGAAATTTGTTAAAAGAACATCCCTTATGAAGCAATGAAAAAGAAGAGGGGAGAAAATGGTCACTACTCACTAGTACATTTGTCTACAACTCACAATAATTCGATACTTATGCGACTGGCAGCAAGAATTTAGTGCACATGACAAAACTAGATGATTTTGAAAGAAATGGGAAATCACTGGTATCATTACAATTGCAGTGACAAAACCTGAGCAGCAAGAGTGTGAAGAAAAGTCCAAGTAGCCCTTCCAAGCTCTTCCTTAGTCACTGGGGAAGCATACTTTCCCTATAGAAACAAAATGATAAAAGATAAACCAAACACAACATCTCATTTGCATAAAGATAAACTGCATATCTGAATCCTCGATGAATAACTTGTTTCTTAAATGAGTTTCTGGCTCAACAAAATTCTCTAATAAGATTACAAATAATCTATAAGTTTATATACATATATTCTAATAAATATAATAAAAGCACATTAGCTTGAAAGCATCTATAAAATTATTAACTGTAGGACATGTGCTACTGGCTACTGCATTGTCCTTTCCTCAAGTATAACTGTTCAGATATCCTTCCCTAGAGAAACCTTTATTCATGACAAATCAGATTATGCAACATTTAGATTACAAGTAAACAAAAAGCAAACATAAAAGGAAAACAAAAGAAAGGCTAATGTAAGAAAAACCAAGTTAGTGATGGAAAACAGCATACTGTAACAACGTAAATAGGATCTAAACTTCCTATATCACCACCAAAAAATAGTAATCATAAGTTTGAAGTTTGCTTCACCTCGCATCCCCCACTACTGCCTTCTCAGTAAAAATAATAAATTTATCATCTAACTAGCAAGAGAAAGCATTTAGGGCCAAATAATCATCAGGCAGGCATTGCAGGAGAGCACCTTATGATAAACCTTGCACAGTTGCAAAATAAACTTGTTTATTAAGAAAAGAAAGCCCCCCAAAAACTCAAAATGAGCATTTGTCATCAGAGCATTTACAAGAAACCAATTTTTATGAACTCTTCTATTAGAATTTTTGTCCTGCTCAATTACCAAAAGGATACAAGGAGATCTAGCGCATAATCAACATATAATAATTATAATAATAATAATAAAGCAAAATATCAACTTAATCATAGCTAAGCAAAGCATGAAGTACAATACATATATTTTAAAGAGATAGAGAGAGAAACAGAGAAAATCAAATTATACTGGAACATAGAAGCAACAGCATATTCCAATGCAGAAACCCAAAGAACCAATCACAAAACCACACTCCCCAGCACAAGAATCACGAAAGTTTTGAAATTTAAGGTTGTGCAAGGCAATGATGATGAATTACCTTGAAGGGGGTATCACCAGATTGTACAGGAGGAGCAGTTTTTGCAATTGGGGTGTTGATGGAGGAAGAGATGGAGAAAAGAGAGCCTCTACCAGATGAATGGAGATGAAGGCCAATGAAATTAGAGAGATGGTGTTGAACAAAATTTGAGACATTCTCAAAGCTATGAAACAAGGCTTGCACCGGATTCTCAGACATGTTACCTGATATGTGAGTTAGACACAACAAAAAAAAAACATAACTAAACCATACAAATTGCATGCAACTAACTATAATATGAACGAACACACCCAATAACTTCATGGCTATCAGTTATGATTTTGCAATAGATGAAACAAGTTCGCACCTTCAGTCACAGAGTGAATTCCCACAATAATTGAGAGCAAAAGCGTTACAGTTTGGTGAAGCCGGAAACTGTCTCGCTCTTTGCCTCTAAGCCTGCAGATTGGGGTGGAGCAAGGGTTTTAATAAACTGATGGCTTTGTTATTATATAAAAATTGTGACATTTAACGAGTAATAGTCTTTGAAAAAACTTAAAAATGGAGTCATATTATATTATGTTATTACGTGTATGGAAAAAGTTTTTTAAATAGATATTATATGTATGAAAAAGATTTTATTTAGGAGGTAAAATTTATTTTAGTGATCTTTACACCTTCAAGGAGATTATTTTTATGATGTCGGTTGGGGGATCCTATATTAAATACAGGAGCAAACTTTCGGTACAACAGCCTATGCCTATCTAGTAGCGATATCGACATGAGACATGTGACACGATATTTCGACACATTAATTCTAAAAAATGTAAGATTTAGGACATGTTTTGATATTAAATAATATTTCTAATTTATGTAGTGTATATTATATTTAATATTCAATAATTTAACAAAAATATGAATCTAAACTTATAATATTTCATAAATTTTGCAAAGAAACATAACATATCCTAAATATTTATATTAAACTCAATAAAATGATAATCCTAATCCAATGAATCTAATAGTTGGAACTAAAAACTCAACGCAAATCAATCTTTGAACTTTTTTTTTTTGAATTTCTATAACACGTGTTGGAGTGTCGGAGTGTCCGAGAGTGTCAGGAAGTGTCGGACACGACACGTCAAAGTTTTTGAAGTGTCAGTGCTTCGTAGACAAGAAATGTATCTAGACATGTCAAAACAGGTTCCGCCAGTCTTACAATTTCAATTTTTAGCTCGTTTTTTTTTTTTCAGCCCACATGTGATTGTTTTTTTTTTTATCCTAACTCCAGTAGCTCTCATTTCTTTTGGATTAGGGTGGGGTTAAGCGTGGACTAGCCCATTTTTTTTTATCTAAACCCTAAATCCTCAATTTGTCTTTCTTCTTGTGGTTTTCTTCTTCACCAGCTGATATGGTTTCTTTTTCTTCTTCTTCCCATTCGATTGCTCTTCTAATTTCTTTTTTCTTTTACTTGTTTTTCTTCTTCACAGGTTCTTCCTCTACTAATTTCATGTTTTTTCTCCTTGAAAGATTCATGTGTTTTTTTTCTCTGTCTTTGTCTTTCCTTAAAGACATGCCTAAGAAAGAGATCAGGCTTATTTCTAATCAGATCCTCTCTCTATTTCAAGACACATCATGTACCTACATCGTGACTAAATGAGAAAAATTTTTAGGATATAAAAGAAAATATAAAAAAAATAAGGGTTAAAATGAAAAAAAAAATTTACCGATTTTAATAAATAGGTGTACCAAGTTTGAAACACCCGTAATTTAAATTTTTTTTCCCAAATACAGAGTTGCAAGTTAAATTAGACTTTGACATAATGACGTGAAAAAATTATTTAATTAATAAAGAGAAAACATACTTATATGTTGTAGAAAAGTATTTTTCTCTCCTGCACATACTTCGATTTTGATATTTATTTATTTTTGAAAAAACTTCAAAAAACTCCCTACAAGTTTCCTCAAAATCACTTAACCCCTTCCCCGAAGATTTTAATCATTTACCCCCCCTACTTAAATTTTTTTTATCATTTACCCCTAATTTGATTTTTCATCCAAAATTATGTTTTTCTTTTTTCTATTAAGGGTAAGTTTGGTATTTTTTTAAAAAAATTTAACTCTGTTTACAAAATTTTGGATGAAAAATCAAATTATGGGGTAAGTGAAAAAAAAAATTAAATAAGGGGGTAAATGATTAAAAATTTCGAGGAAGGGGTTAAGTGATTTTGAGGAAACTTGTAGGGGGTTTTTGAAGTTTTTCTTTTTTTTTAAATAAAAATAAGTGGGTCCCACATATGATTGTCTCTATAGCATGAGAGAACTTCTCTCCTATTGCATGAGATTAATAAAAGTCATTAATAAAAAACATATTGTAACTAGTAAGACCATAGTTATTAAAACCAGACCGACCCGGCCGAGTCAACCCGGGAACCGGTAAACCGGTCATATAACCGGTTCGGTTGAAGCAACGGACCGGTCATGCATCAGAACCGGTGCGACCCGGCCGATTTTCATAAACAACCGGTGACCCGGCCCAGTCCAAAAAAAAAATTCCCAATTTTTGTTTTTTCCAAAAAAATCAGAATAGCCATATTTGAATATTTTTTTGCTTATTGACTTACATAAATTATGTACCTACAACACTAATATATCTCAATTATATACTATGCATAAAATTTTAAATTGATTTATAGTTAGAGATGTCATTTTTTGAACCTAACGCCTCGTATCACGATCATTATATTTTTGTTTGATTTTTTATTTGATAATAATATGTGATTTATTATTTTTTGTATTAAAATATTTGAAATATTTATCATTTTTTTAGATATTTGAGTATGTTTATAATTTTTTAATATAAATTATAAAATTACATATAATTACCTGGTCTTGCGATTGAATCAGAGACCCACTGGTTGAACCAGTGACCCGATACCTCGACTGGGTCAATGACCGGGTCGGTTTTAATAACATTGAGTAAGACATCACATCTAATCAATTTTTTTATGATGTGTTGCAAATGTAATTTTTTCATGTATACAAAGTTTCTCCATACTCCAATATAGTAAAATATATAGTGGGTAAATGATTTCTCCAGTCAATGGAAATAAATTATCGTCATTTTGAGGCAGGAATCAATGTGTTTTTGTAATTCTAATATATTGCAGGGTCATATTAGTCTTTATTTTTATAATTTTTTAATCTTATAACTCAAAACGACGTCGTTTTGAGTTCACTGGAGATAATTTTATCTCCGGTGACTGAAGAAATATTTTTTCTATATATATATTAAGAATTATTTTGTTATTTTACACCTGATTAGCCAATCTGCTTTAAGAAGACTGTTTGTTTTGAAAATTAAAAATATAATATATTTGGGAAATCAAAATGATGCTTGTATGGGAAATAAAGTTAAAAATAGCAGTATTTACGGAAAGAGGTCAATAATCAATTATTTAAGCAAATCTTATTGCTTCTGATGATGATCAGCTTGACATTTTGTTTATGTGGGCAAAAATTTAAATAATACTTGATATTGGTTTTTTGAGCATGTAGCCTTTATTTAATAATTAATTATTATATTGACTTTGATTATAAACTATTTGAAAAATTTAACCTCTCCAGAAAACATAACACTAAATCTGTTCCTGTTTGACCGTTGACCATCAAGCTTACTCGGTAGCCCCTTACCTACTCGGGTATTTTTTGAAATTTTTATCCTACCGAGTAGTGAAGGAGATACCCGAGTATATTTTAAAATTCTGAAAAAATATTTAAATTATATACCCATATAGAGAGGGGCTACCAGATAAATACTCAAGATCAACAATCTTATGAATTGGCCAGGAATGCAAGTTCTACAAGCAGCTGCACTGATGCACCTCACCTGACACTGCCTCTCACTCTTATTCATTCTGTCACCTGTACTGCATGTTGCCAATACTGTTCTGCTGTCACCGAGATTAAGTGTATACAAATCATTACCATGAAGAAGCACAAGTAAAACACAAGATCCAATAGAAACTAAATCTGGACGCTCCTCCATTTCCTGCTCAACCATGTACAAGAAATCATTCTCAGCCTGACTAAGAGCACGTTGGAGGCTATCAAGTACCCCATGTGAAAATGATTTACATGATGCTTCTGACTTAGCACAAATAAGACTATCATCCAATTTATATTGAAGGGATCCACCTAAAACCACATTGTTAGTATCTTTGATGCAACCTGGTTCCAATTCCCAAATTAACTTGTTTAAGAAAGATATACACGAGTGCAACAGTTTTTTTTTTTTTTTTTTTTTTTTTTTTTATATATATCGGTAAGAATTGAATAAAAGGACAGAATATACTTACCATCAAAATTATTTATCACTTTTATAATTAATTTAATTACCGTTAATTTTTATAAATTTAACTGTTATAATTTATTGAATTTATAGGAAATTAATAATAATTAATAAATATGACTCAATAATTTTTAATAAATTATAACCGTTCAATTGATAGAAATCAACGGTGATTAGATTGATTGTAAGGAGAGTAAACTTTTATGGTGGTAAGTATATCTTTTCCTTTGAACAAATAAGCTAATACAAACTACCAAAATCCCTCACCACTAAAGCAATCCTAATGGTTTGAAGTGCAACAGTTCCTAGTATTTTTATCACGAAGTGTTTTTTCTTCTTTCAAGTTTCGTTCCTCAGCTAGACAACAGACAACAGACAATAGGCGTCTCTATCTCCTTTCACATAATTTGTGGCACTAGTTTCTTTTCAATGTTGTAAAATAAGCGTGCCAAACTTTACAATCATAGTCTAGTTGAACAGCAGGCTGTTTAGCCAATAGCGTCAGTAAATCACAATTACAATAGCAAAATAATTGTAACTTTATTTCCATGAGGACACAACATATTGGTCCTAATATATAATTCCGTTAAGATGTTCATATTAGTATCCCAATAAAAATGCTTTAGAACGGAAATCGAAAAAAAAAAATCCACCACCATTTTTTGTTAGCTCGCCGCATGTTACATGTACTCATTGTCTAGATGATGGGATATTTGAAAAAATTCTACTGGACGATTAATTAATCATTTTAAGTTTAATAAAAAATAGTTGCAATAGAAGGAGGATTCACAAAAGAAGTTGCAACCCTGCACAAGTGTAATTAACTTTATTTTCAAAGGGTGTGCATGACAACCGTTTTATTCCCTAGCACGGTTTCTGAAAAGAAACAATTATTTTCTACTTTTGTGCCTTGGAACAGTTTTTGAGAAAAAAAATGTGTTTAATAACATGTTCTATTTTTATTCCGAGAATGAGAATTGTGTTTGATAACACAACAAAAAATAAAATAAAAAATAATTTCTATTAAATATAAAAAAATTTCGAATCATCACTTTCTTTTCCATATGGTGTGGTTGTGGTGGTGGTGGTGGTGGTGGTAGCGGCGACCGTACGGTAGTGGTGGTGGCAATGACGTGGTGAAGATAGTGGTAGTGGTTGTGACTGCGACGATGGTGGTGGTAATGGGGACGGCAGCGGTGGTGGTGGGGATGGTGGTGGTGGAAGTGACGACAGTTGCTGCGACAATGGTGGTGGGTATGGTGGTTGGTGGCGGCAAGAATGGTAGCAGTGGCATGATGGTTGTGGTTGTGAAGGCATCATTGTGGTGGTGGTGGCAGTGGCTGCGGTGGTGGTAGGTGACAACGGCGGTGGTGGTAGTGGTAGTGGCGGGGGTGGTGTTATGGTGGCGATGGTGACAATAATGACTGTGATGATGGTGGTGGTGGTTGGTGGCAGCGGCGTCGACGGCAGTAGTGGTGACAGTAGTGGCTGCGGCAATGGTAGTGGTGGTTGGTGACAATGGTGGTGATGGTAGTGGTGGCGTCGTGGTGGTGGTAGTGGTGGCGATGAGGGTGGTGGCAGTGGCGTGTGATGGCAATGGTGGCGGTGATTGCGATGATGGTGGTGGTGGTGGTTGATAGCGGTAGTGGTGATGGTGGTGGTGACGGTGATAGTGGTGGTGGTGGCAGCGGTGGAAGTTGTGGTGGTGGTGACGATGACATGGTGGTAGTGATGGATGAAGGTGGTGGTAATGGTGGCGGTGGCATCGTGGTGGTGACGACGACACTAGTGGTACGATGATGGCGGCGACGATGGTGGCAGCAAGCAGTCGTGTCGGGATGATGGTGGTGGTAGTGATGATGGTAAAGGTGGAGAGTGATTGAGAGAAATAAATATTTCTCATATTGTGCCCAGGAACAAAAAAAATAGAAATTTTCTGATTCTTTTTTCTGTTTCCCAGCACAAAAATTAAACCGGTTCATCTCGGGAACAAAAAAATAAACCGATTTTACCAAACGAGTTTCCTATCCATTTCAGTTCCCGGGAACAGAAATTAAAAAAGAATTGATTCCAGGAAGGTTGTCATGCACATCCTTTATGTCGCACATAAGGATCTGATGCACGAACATGCTATTTGCAAAAAAAAAAAACAAATTACTGAGTTGGATATCAACACATTTTCGACACGTAGTTAATATTTTTTGACACGTTTCTGACATGCTGTCAATGTTTTTCAACACACTTTTGACACGCGATCAAAGTTTTCCAACACGTTTTTTTTTAATATCCAAATTTTATTTTATTTTATCTTTTATGAAAAATTAATTTATAAATCAAATATTTTCTGTTATAAAATTTAACTTGAAAAATTAACAATACATGAAAAATTATTTTTCTTTATATTTATGTTATAAAATTTGAATATTTAATTGATTATATAACTTATTATGAACTGTTATATGTATTAAATATAAAGTATTATATATATATATATATATATATATATATATATATTAAAAATATCATTTTATAGCAAATCGTGTCCTAACATATCAAAATTTAACATTTTTTAAAATTAATGTGCTGGCGTGTCGTGTCCCGTATTAGTGCAACATAACATGGGAGTGAATGAGGCACTATGAAGAGAAAAAAAAAAAAAGACTCCACGCATTCCCTTACATTTGCACGGGATAAAATTTTCTTCTATTTACATTAAACCGGCTGTATATTTCAAATAGCATTGAGAAACTTAATAAATTTTCTTAGACGCATAGTTCAACAAGTTAACAACCTTGGGCTGAATTCAATCCGTATAGAGAACAAAAAGTCTCGAACCTATCTGATGACAATTCCCTTGTATGCAAGATAGCCAGAAATCATATATATGTAGGAAAGGAAGTACCAGCTTTCACTAGGCCAACACCAACTTGAAAAATTAGGACAGGGTCAGAGAGAGAGAGAGAGAGAAGAGAGGAGTGGCAGGTCAAGCAACAATGTGCAAAGGCAAGAATTATCAAAAGTGAAAAATAGAGAAAGACAATAAATTATAGTAAAACGTGTTTTCATACAAAATAATTTGCAATCTGTCATTATTCATCAGAAAGCTCATCACCATAATAACCATTACCATTATCCTCATCCACCAAAGATTTACTTTTAGATTTTGATGATTTGCTAGATTTTGAGGGTTTCTTGACTTTTTCTGCCTGCAACTCCAACACCTTCTCTGAAGGTTTCCGCTTTCTTTTAATGCGCGTTCCGCCAGCATCTTCTGCAAAGAAATTTTTAAGGCATGTAAAAAATGCAAACACAATAGTACCTACAGAGTCTATGTAGTTGAGAGGTGCAAATTCCATACACAGCAGAGTAGAAGAAACCAAAATTCAGATAAAGACGCCATGAAATAAATTTGCTGCCTGAGTTACAAATTTGCAGTTCAATACTTTTTTTTACTTTCAAAAATTATGATTCTTAGGAATCCAAATACCTTGTCACAAGCATATAGTGCAAGGTGTGACGTTACCTTCAACTGGACTTGAGGCATGATTCATTATATGTCCATTTGGTCCAGCCTCTTCTGAAAATGGGGATCCAGAATTGTTGCTGTCCACCAGCTTTGAAGAACATTCTAAGAACTTGTCTTGCTGTTCGGGAACATCATGACTGGGAGTTGCTGGCAGGAAACATAACTCTTCTTGAGACATCTCAGAGTCACTGAAAGCAGGATCTTTCTCCACTGTTACAATGTCAACTTCCTCATCTTCATTAACATCAGATCCTTTTACCTGCAAGCATATGATCTTAGGACTAAAAATGTACAGTAGAAAACAAATAAAAAAGAAGACCTGCATGACCATCTAACACTCTCTTACCTTCTCTGACTCAGGAATCAAATCAAATTCATCTTCTCGCTCCACATACTCCTCATTCTCCTCAAGCTCTTTGAAATCAGGAGCAAATGCACTCCAGTTTTCAGTGTAATCTTTAGCCCAGATATAAACTATGCCATTCAAAGAAACAGATACAACAATGGGACGTACAGGATGCCATGCTAAATCAATGAGGGCTTCCTTAGGTCCTTCAAGGATTTTCACAAGATGCCCAGCTCTATCCCATATGTAAATCTTGTGTTCTCCTTTGCTAGCAGAACCACCAACAACCCACTCACCATCACCACTGAAACAGGGTGCTTTCCAGTGCACCTTTGTGATAGAATCTTGAAACTCCCGGAATAAAGTTAAACATTTAGATCCTACAGCCTTCAACTTCTCAACATCATCTAGATCATTGAGGTTCTCATTCAGGTTTTCAAGTGCCCTAACTTCATCTTTCAAGTGCAGAAGATTTTCATAGATCCTGATAATTCGATCATTTGAGTTTGTTAGTAGATACTGTCCATTCCTGCTGAACACCATGTTCTTCACTACAGAACCACCAGAGATAGGAACCATGGCATGCACCTTACCATCTTTATGGTCAATTACAAGAATTTCCCCTTTTGAGTTTCCCACATAAACCAAATTTCCATACTTACTAAAACATGCAGCAGTTGGTGTGAAGGAGGTAATCCCATCAGAACACTTGTTGCGTGAGGCAGGAGTTGGTCCACTTGATATCTCGGATACAGAAACTTTAAGTGAAGTTGTATTTCCTGTATTCAAGTCAACAATCATTGGAGCACATGAGAGAGGGCATGCCAGGCAGAGAGATGGTGTAGAGGAACCAGGATGAAGACGAGCTTGTAGAGGGGTTTGTTGCAAAACTATTCTTGTTATCCTCTTACCACCCGTAACATCCCACAGTGATAAAGACTTGTCAGCAGCAGATACAAGAATTCGATTACCACACTTCGACCAACAAATACTGGTTATGGGGGAAGAACATTCATTATCTCGAAGCTCTTTAGCAATGCCCCTGGTTTCAAAATCCCAGATAACGCAACTTCCATCATTGCACCCAGCTGATTCAATTGATCAAATCAAGTATCAAAATTGAGGAAGTTGATAATGTATAATATCTCCAATTAATAATTCATAAAAGTTCAACACTTGCTATAATATAATATTTATCCAACCCCACATGCAAATAGACAGGAACACAGTATGCAATATAAGTCTATGCTTCAAAAGAAGAACTACATAAATCAGAAAGAAATACACTGATAATAATTTTTCTTTAAATCTAATCTCAAAAGAAAAATTTGGGTAAATAAAATCTATTCAAAATGTTTTTACGCCAAATACTTAAAACTAGTGGATTTTGCTTTTCCAAACAAAGCACATGCATCTGGACCAAACTCACAATCACAGAGGTTCTAATTCACTGGCAACATAAGCAATAGCCACTTGAAAAAAAATAAAGAATAAACATTACAGCTAACACATAATTTAAATACATGCGCTTTTACCCTCACTGAAAGATAAGAAAAATGGAACACTTTAAAGTATGAATTTCACAATCATAAAGCTTTTTATCCTAAAGAGTAAAGGTTGAAACAAGTGAGCAAGAATGTTACGCACCAAGGTCTTTGCATCTGTTTAGGTGCAGAAACATTCCTAAAAGGGCTAGAGAAGATTCTAACTATTATAACCACCCACATTGAACCCCACACATGATTGTCCAAAAGAGTTCAATACATTTTAATTTCTTGCACCCCAACATATACACCAAGGTGGTTCTTTAGAAAATGCAAAAATTGGAGTTAAATAGTATAAGGAATATCACCAAATACACATCAAATGCCTACGCATGGTCACCAGATTGGAAAAACATAAGCAGTACGAATGTGATTATGTTATTGTGAAACTTCCCATCAGTTCCATCAGGTCTATGCATTCTTCTTTTTGAATCCCCCCTCCCCATCCCCATTTGAGGTTTGTTAATGAGTGCCTTTACTAGTATGGCTTAATCCCTCACTACCAACACACATGTGAAGATTAGTCCCAGCAATATTCTGCCTGCTTGTATACCAAAATTCTTCAAATAATTAGCATTGCAACCAATATCATTTTCTTTTCTAGACCATCATGCACAGCAACATATGATAACAACTACCATCATAAATCTATACAAATCCTCAGCCCAAACCAGGCATATCTCCAACAAGCCCTCTGAACCTCTTCCACTATATTGTCAGAAGATTGACTGTTGCATAAGATAAATTTCCATTATCCAGGTTTTCTGTTGACCAAAAAGTCCAAGCATTTGACCTTGGCATAGGAAAAGTTTCAATAATAAATGCTTCATCATACCAGTGTCCAGTCTCTGGCAAATTGCATAACAGCAGAGAGAAGGAGAGCACAGAACCACATGATTTAGCAGCAAGTATTCACCAAAATGCAAAGACTCGCTAAATAAAACATACTCATTACATTATCTCACCAGTCACAAAGCAAACATGTTTGATGTCTGTTCAAAAGTTTCTCCTATTTAGGGGCTGTATAATTTTTTGTAAATCGTTAGGATTTGACTTGTGCTGTTTCCTAATTTCTAGTTTCCCTATTTTCCTAGTTTCCTAATATTAGAGATTGTAAATCATCAATCATGTATATATAACTAATCTTGCTGACCATTTCCTCCAGCAATTCAGAAATCTTCTCATCCATCTCAAGATGATACCAGAGTTTGCAAGTTCTGGGCCTAAACCCTAAAAAAACAAAAAATGTCCTTCCAGCCATCATCAGATAATATATTAAAATATTGAGGATTAAACTTGGTTTTTGATAGAATCCAATGGCGTTGTTTGATCCATGTAACCGGCCCTGCCTAGTGGGAAAAGCATTTTTTGTTGTAGAGCAATTATAATATTGAGTATCACTTGCATATAAAGTCAGCTTATATTCTTGATAGTACACCAGCTGCTCTCTCCACTTGAATAGCAAAGCAAAATACACATACCCATCATTACTATTTTGTAAAGTCTCTCCATTATAGTCTATAATAGCAAAGTCAACACCAATCTAGACAGGCTGATTCAGGGTCCATCCAGTTTGGAGGTTCAAGTGATGACCCAGCAGTTTTGTGACCAAAATTTGACTCTTGAGGTCATCAAAGAACTGAACGATGCAAGAACTGCTGTCAAAAAGACCTGAGGAAGTGGGGGGCTTGGCAGAATTGAGGCACAACGAGGAAAGAAACTACTGGAATTTAGGCACTGCAGGGAAGCTTTTTCTGCTGTGCAGTGGGGACAGCAGATTAGGGTTTGTTGGGTAGAAACCTGCTCTAATGCCAACTTGAAAACAGAGAGCTTATGAATTCCATGTCAAAAGGAGACCATACGGGAGTATCAATTATGGCCATAATTAATTACAAGGATACTAATCTGCAAATCATCTCCTAACATTGTTCCTTAATTACGACACTTATCAACATTACATATATAAAATAACAACAATGACATTCTAAACATATTCTAACAAACCACTGCATTCATACCTCATTTTTTCCAGTACACTAGCAACTATAACTTGGTAAAGTAACAATAAGTCATGTCATTGAGTATCACCAGCACACAAAGTCATCTTAAATTCTCCATTCAAACTTGAGCAGCTGCCCTATTTGCCAGAAAAGCAAAACAAAATGTACCAATCCAATAACTCAAGACCAAGTCAAACCCCCAAAAAATTAAACATTGACTACATCTTTATTGTACATCTTTATTGATAGAACCCTTAAATTCTGCATAACTACCACACATAACAAAGCCTGTTTCTTTTCTAGGCAACTAGGGGAAAGGTATTTCAAGGCAGTCTAGTACTTGTACTATAAGCTCCCACTATAGACAGGGTTCACGGAAAGGGTTTATAGTAGGGGCACCCTTTACCATGCATTTCCAAGATGCTAATTACATGAATCCAACCCGTGACGGCAACAACACCAACTTCTGTCCCAAATTAGGGAAAGGGTATTTGCTCAATAAAATTAACCATTCAAAAGAGACAAAAACTATTTGTAAGAACAACCCATTTTCTAAAACAAAATTATTTACATGAAGAATTTTCAAGTAAATGGAAGGAGTAGAATGCATCAAATAAAAAGGGGGATAAAGTGAGAGTTACCAGCAAGAAGGGTACCACGACGATTGAAGGCAATACATTTCATACATCCATGTTCCAAATACTCCTCTATCACTTCCGGGAAATCTCCCTGTAACGGATCTTCAAATATTCCACAAAATAGTAATATCAGAATTTAGAAGAAGAAAAAAAAAAAGTTACTTAATTTTTGATTTTATTGTTTCATAGGGTACCAATCTTTAACCTGTAAAACATTTATTAATTGCGCGTTATAGAAACAAATAAATGTTCAAAAAATTATGAAAGAAAGGTACCCTAGAAAAAAATAAGGTTTACCGTAACAATTCTCCGAACACAAAGAAGTGCAGGCGAAAACAAAGAAAAGGGAGAAAGAGAAAGAAATCAGAAGAAGAGAACCAACCAATGACGGGTGCGTTCATCATTCGAAGAAGGTCGAAGGTAACAGAGATTCAAGGAGATGAAGTGAAGTGAGCGAGGGAAAACAGAGGAGGCAACAGAACACATTAAAGAGGGAAGAAGGGGAGATATAGAACATGTCCCTCTCACTTGACTTAGTTGGCGGATTTTAAAAGATTTTTTTTGCGATAATTTGTTTTTATAGATTTTAGAAAACTATTAAAAAGTCTTATAGATTTTAGAAGATTATTTACAGCTGAAGGAATTTTAAAGATTTTTTAAAAGATATTTTTACCATCAAGATTTTATAAGATTTACTTTTAAAGAATTTTAATAAAATTTATAAGATTTGAAAGGAGAATATGAATTTATAAGATTTTAAAAGAGGAAAAAATATTTCTGCAATTACTGCAGATAAGTATCTGCATTTATTCTCAAAACGAAATCGTTTTGGTATTGAAATATTAAAAAATTATAAATATAAAGACTATAATAGCCCTAAAATAAATTAAAATTATAAAAATACCATGATTTATGTCCCAAAATGACGTCGTATTGGACTTACTGTAGATAATTTATATGCAATAACTGCAAAAAAACGAACCCTTTAAAAAATCATATGAATTTTTAACAAATATTCAAAATTACAAGAATAAAAAAAAATAACAAAGAAATATAATAATATTAATAAAAAAAAGTAAAACATAATATAATTTTTAACAAATATTCAAAATTACTAAGCAAACAGCTCTCCACATATCTAAAGTTATACTAGTCCTCAACGCATTAGCACTTTCTCGTTCCTGCTCTTGGGTTTGACCAATGGATTGAAAAATATCTACTTCATTTGGTACCAAAGCTATTCATTTCGTTTGGAATTTTTTGCAATTACGTGATGAGAGTTTTCTAACTGTATATCATATGCATGTTTTCATTGAGTAATCTAAGAAAATTTCTAATCTGAATTTATGAATTTTATTACATGAAAGTTTAGAAATTTTCTCAAATTATTTTCAATTGATACATTGAAACCTTAAATTACTTTGAGGCTTTTGAAAAACAAGTTTATAGTTATCTAGTGACACAAAAATTGTTTTAAATTGTTTTTTATAGTGATAGAATTTCGTTCATGAATACATTGTTACGAAATATAGGGTTCATATTATGAAAGTTTCAAACTTTCTTTAAATTGCTATTGTTTCATTGATGTAAAACGAAAATTGGTTTAAGGGTTTTAGTTCCCCTGTTATTTTTCCACTGTTTTATGTTATTTTTAATACAAAAATATATCTTTTTGTGTCAAGAAAAATCGCGACCCATAGCTTGGGAAAAAAAAATTTAAACTTTCAAAAGCTCTAAAAAAATCGCTCAAAAATCTGCTGTTGTTGAGGTGGATTATATTAGAATCTTGTTGGTTTGTTGTTTCTAAGTTGTTTTATGATGTAAATCGCTCAAAAATTTGTTGTTTTTGAGCTTTGACGAAATTCCCATGGCGAAATCAGGTTTCAAGCGAGTTAACCCGCCAAAGAAAAAAAAAAGACACTGCAATAGAGAAATTTCAAAAAATTCTAGGGGGTTAGGATAAGATTGTCAGATAGGCATCCTATTTATATTTCTCACTAAAAAGTCTTACTAAATCCACACCAATAGAAAATCTATTAAAATCGTCAAAATTTTGAATACCACAAGATTGTTTTTCCTGTTTAAAATCCAGATTGAATACCAATGAATTTGGACGAACTCTAAAATAATTTTTTAAAATCCTAATCGAATACCACATGACTTTTTTTCAATACTTTATTATCCTAATTGAATACCAATGGATTTTTTTGTCCAAAAATAATCCATTAAAATCCTTTGAAATCCGAATTCAATACCCCTCATCCCCTTAGTTCTTTTTCCTTTTCTTTATTATAACTTTTTCTATCTTTTTCTCTCTATTTTTACATTGCAATATAAAATTGAAAAAAGTTCATAAATCTATTTATGGTTTACTCTTTTACAATTATATTCTTATACTTTTTTATCAATTAATTCGCTATGATTTTTTTCCATCCAAGTTCATATTTAACATTGTTAGTAATTAAACAAACTAGTCTATTTTATCCTTATTTTGTGTTTGGACTTTTTGTTGCGTATCTAGAAAGTGTACTAGTCGTACAAGTAATAAAATGATGAGTAAAGATCGTTCCCACGAGAATTTGTGTCAAGCACTGACTAACCATATGTACTTGAGTTGAATCAAACAAAAGTTCATAGATTGCATAGATTTCTTGTCACCAGAAACTACACTGAATTGAATTAAAACTTGATAAATAAATAAATTGTAAATTATAATGTAAACAAGTAGTCAGATGTCATTTTCCCTTAAACATGAATTTATAGATGAACCAATTTCCATTATGAATTATCTACTATGTGATGTTGATCAACCTTTTTCTTACCATCTCAAGATGTAATCCCTTACTACCCTGATAGACACATTAATCAGAAACCCCAATCCCTTGGTGATTCCTATCTTAATATATGCATTAATTACTAAGGTCTTAAGATCACATCAGAATCCTAGCATCAATCCCTTGACTACTAGAACACTGATGATGAAGTTGTCAATAATAAAGAAACAATGTAAACATGTCTGTTCTACACTGTTCCTCAACATGAAGAATTAATCAAGACAACTTCATACAATCACATAATAGATAAACAAAACATCTAATTAACCATTCATAAATTCAAACTTGAGTTCCATTGAATCAGACTACAAAGGACTCTACTCAGACATAATACAAATAATAGCAAGAGAAGAAGAAAGATCAAACTCCATTGTCATGATAGTTGAGTCTTCAATCTTCAAGTACAATTACATGAAAGAATACTAACTATTACAATACTAAATCCTAAGAATTTGGAAAGTCAGAGAAAATGAGGAGTCAGATCAGATCTATGAAAGATCTGACATGATCTCCCTTCTCCTAGTGTGATGGGGAAAGTCAGAATATAAGAGAATGGATATGATTGGATATCAGAGTATGAAGGCCCCTTGTCCTTTTATAGTTTACAAATTACAACTGAAAACTGACTTGGGCGCTAAAGCGTTCACTTCTGGGCGTTTTAGCGTAAGTGAACGCTTTAGCGTCCAACTTTGACGGATGCCCAACTGCTTTCAATTGTCTTGGGCACTAAAATGTTCGATTTGGGCGTTTTAGCGCTCACGACCAGAACCTTTTCGCACATCAGAGCGCTAAAACGCTTGACTTGGACGTTTTAGCGCTCAGCACCAGCACTTTTTGGCTTCATTTTGCAGCAGGGCACTAAAACTCTTAACTTTGGGCGTTTTAGCGCCCAACTCTTAGAATTTTCCCATTCTTCAGAAACTTCTTCCTTCTCTCTTTTGCTTCTTGAGCTTCATTTCCCTACAAAAACAATGTAAATTTTCAACAAAAGCTTCAGAACTTGTATTTGAGAGATATCCAGGACATTAACCTCTTTTCCATCCATTTAATCACACAAATTGATATTAATTCATGCTTAAAAACCTGATGAACCAAGGGTTTATCACAATTCCCAAATTTGAACATTTTTGTCCTCAGCAATGAATTAAAAACAGAGAAGAAATTGAGATTCTTTACAAATGAAATTCATGAGGATGGACTTCAATTAACAAAAGATCAACATTTTATGATACAAGCTTATAACCATGCAATCTCTTATTTCCTATGATTTGCCCAACATCATTTGTGACTTTTCAACAGATCAGTAGAGATGATATACAGAGACTTCCAAACAACAACACCCCCTCACTAGGAACTTCTCAAAAATTATGAGAATTTGACTCTCTTGCACTCTAGTGTTTAAGGGTGTACTTATCACTCACTCTTCACAGCATTTCAACTGCCATAAGCTTGCCCATCTTCTCACTATTCATAGTAACAATGATCCATAAGGTAGATCAAAAAGGTTTTGGTATGATTAGCAATGAGGCTTGGTGTGTGGCTTGACTAGAGGTAAGGGTTTCTATGAAAGGGAAAGTTCAGATCAAATGAATCAGATTCAGATAAGAGAGAATTCACAGTAATTAATCAATTTCTTCTTAATTCCCTCAATTTTCTTCCTTTTCATTCCTTGTTCTTTTCTTTGAACCTTTCTTCCTCCTTTTCTTGCTGACACTTTGTGTCTTTAACAAAGAATTTCTCTTTTTCTTCCTTTTTCTTTCAGACACTTTGTGTCTTTAATACTTTCCTCTGTCTCTTCCAACACTTGTATTTCATACCTTTTTCTTTCCTTTATTTCCAACACCTTGCATTCACTTATTGCAAAAACACTTTCCTTCCCACAGAACACTCCATCCATTATCACTTATCTGAAAATTTTAATCTGAAGGATTGGAATAAATGTGGTTCTTGGTTTTATAGACAACATGCTAGGCTCAAGGGTTTCATGCAATGGAAATATTAAGGTTGGTCATTTAAATTTTCTGGTTCAAAAAGGAAGTGTCTCAATCAATTCTACCCTATACATCTTGAACCATTTCAAGCAAGAAACAAGGCAAGTTCTAGAGTTATTCATGAAGTGAAGTGCTCTTTGAACAAAATTTTCTGTATAGGCTCAAATTCTCACTGTTCAGAGTGCATGCTTGACTTTCTCTATATGCATCAAAACTAATCTCTCTACTCTTACACATTGAATGAGTCATGCAATCATTTCATCTAAGCTCAAAATGCAAGGTATAAGATTGTATCCTTAATTTGATCAATCATATAAAATTCTGATCAGTCAAATCCTCATGAAATTCATATTAAAACTGAAATCCATATTCTGAATCACAACTAACATCTAAATTACACTAAAAACATAGAAAAGAAAAGAGATTGAGATGTTTCCCTGTTTTGGCTCATCAATTCGTGTGATATCTCCATGAAGTTTGCATGCCATTCAATCACACCCAATTCCCAGATTTAAACGTTGCTGTCCTCAGGAACTAATTTAAATCTAAAACAGCAATGGATCACTGAAACACATTCATATATAAACCAATAGCATCAGTACTATCGTAATGTGCATCATGCAAAAACAGTGAATATCCCAATG